GATTTAATTTTTTATATAAAATAAAAGACTGATTGAATAATGAGATATAAGTTTATTGAAATTTAAAAGAGAGAGTCTTGAAAATTGGATTTAAAAGGTTAATAAGGATTTATATGATTTTTAGCAATCAGATGGGTAGAATAAAATGATTTTTTTTAGATAATAGTTGATTTAGTTTCTATAATTTATGCAAATATTGAGAGGAAGTGAATAGTGCAAAAAAAAACTGTTGATGCTGGAAGAATGGCAATAAGATTGGAGAAAGAGGATATTCCATATCCAAGAAAATTAGGAGCATTTTCTTTCAATCTAAAAATTTGGTTTTTTTCAAATTTTGTATGCCTATTTTAAATTAGTAGATGAATAAGTGTACAAATTTTAAATCAAGATCAATTACTAAAATAATAATAATTAAGATTTTAAATTTTCTATAGAATATATTTAAGATTTTATTTAAATTTGATTATGATTTTTTAGGATTTATATAAATTTTGATCAAGATTTTATTAATATTTTCTTCAATTTGGCTAAATTATGATTAGGATTTTTTAAAAGTTTCTTTATGATTTCTTTAAAACAAATTAGAATTAATTAAGATTATTTTAGATCTAATTAAGATTATTAAAGTTTATTTGGAGTTGATTGGAGTGTATTAAGATTTTTTTAGGATTTTTCTAAGATTAATAAAAAAGCATTTAGTATAGTTAGAAGGTTACTTAGGTTATACAAGATTTCCAAAAATATATTTTTAAACACCTTATTTAGGTTTTTTGGATTATAAATCAAACTTTAAAATCACACTCTTTAATATCAAAATATCCAATGTATTTCAAAGCTCATTTTAACATAATATAATACCATCATCATTTTATATATGAAAGAATATTAAATGGATATATAACAATAAATTATATCTCAAAAAATCTTCAACTTGCTAACATCTTTATAAAGCCTCAATCTTAAGTTACATAGAAAAATATTAGAAATAATGAACCTTTATTCTACTTAAAATCCTTACATTGCTAAGATACTTGATAACATCTTCTCACTTACAGCATTTTCTTCTATTAAACTTCTCTAGCATGAGTCAAAAAAATTAAATTAAACGATTGAAAATTTCTTCACTATTACAGGAAGAATTCAAGCAAGAGACTAAAAGAACTTAATTCAAGATTGTATGTGATGTCCAATGGATTTTAGGACTTTCAAATTATTTTTAGATATTTATCAAGAATTTTTCTTAAATTTTTGTTCAACTCACTTAATTAATTTCCAAATAAAAATTGAAATAAAGTAAAGATACAAAAGTATCATCCAAGGTTTAAAAACGATTTTTATTTGAGCTCATATTATATTTAATCCAAAATTTTAAAACCATTTTTTGTAGAAATAGATGCATTAAATTTTGCATTAAATACATTTCTATCACAAATAGATATAGATAATAGACTTCATCTTATTGCATTTTATTTAAGAAAAAATATTCAATAATTGAGTTTGATTATAAGATTCATAATTTCTTGCAATTGTGGATTCATTCTAAGAATGGTGTCACTACCTAGAATGCACTTGTCATTCAATTAAAATCTATACTAATGACAAAAATCTTAAATATTTCACATTAATACATATATTAAATTGTGACAAAGCCATTAGAGTATATTTTTATCATGACATATATTTAATATTACTTAAAAATCTAAAAGAATAAGATTTGTTTATTATTTTCTTTGGTTATTCTTATCTTATACCAAAAAAAAGAAATACTACATCTAATTAACAAACTATTTTTTTGAATCTAGGACAATTACATTTTTTAGCCATTATGTCAATATTTCTAATTGATGTTATTTTTTTGATGGATTTTTTTTAAATAAATTAATAAAATTTCTTGGTATTAATTTTAAAATAATATTTATGATGACTTTATCAAATTTAATATCAAATTTTTATCATGAAAGATATTCAAATATTCCAAAAAATTAAATATAATTATATATACTATAAGCATGACATAACTTTCCAATAGCATGATACTTTGGATATAATAAAACTCTTGAGTTTATTTTTAGAAATTTTAGATAGTTTTAAATGTAAAAAGAGGTTAAAATCTTTGTTTAATATTTTGACACTTATTCTAAAGCAACAACTCTACATCATCAATTCTATGGACTTCTTCAATCTTAATATATTTTGAAACAATCTTAGTCATTTGTTTTAATGAATCTAATTACAAATCTTCTAATATAAATTTCTTATGATTATATTTTTATTAGAATAGATCAAATCAACAATCAAATAAAATATGTAAATCAAGTATTAGAGTAATATTTATAATATACCATATACTATCATTTAGACAATTAGACAACTCTCTTGCTTCCAACAAAATTTTTATATAATATTATGATATATACCTCTCTTTAATAAAATATAATTTTACTAATTATGATTATTATACATAATTTAATAATTTTTAATGTTTAAAAGTTAAAAATCTACTAATAAAGATTTGGCACCAAGAACAACAAAGCTTCATTAAAAAATAAAGACTAAATTAAAAGAGGCTCAAGTAGGAAAAAAATCAAATATTAATATTTTTAGAAAATAATAACTTACATTTATAGTTGGTGGAAAGATATAATTACTTTGTTGCAATATAAAGACTAATTGAGCTTTAAAAAGGTTGAATTATTAAAGACTTTATTTGTTTATCATCCAAAAATAAATTTATTCAATTGTGTTATAATTATAATCACTACAATAATTAAAGATATATCTTATTTTCTACATATCTCTTATTAAGCCTTATATTACAATTAGTATATCAAGAAAAAAAATTACAATTATGCCATCTAATTAAAATAGATTACAATATAGAACTTGAAGTAGAAGAGGTTTTGAATTTAAGGCAAAACCAAAAATAAATTGGAATATCTTATTCATTACTTAGATATGATATTAATAAACCCATATGGATACTATACTTAATAGAATCTTACTATACTTATGAAATCCTCAACAATGATTGAATAGCAAGATGGTCTTCTTGCCTTGGTATAAGACATTATTAATGGTTGAAAGGACTTATCAACCACTTTTGGACATAATACACATTAGAATTTGTTGCTAATACTTTTTAATAGATCTTGAATTTTACCAACTTATGAAGCAATTTGATTGCTCCTGGTGGAAATTTTTGCTTAAAAAGAAAGGACAGTGTATTATATTACTTGAGTAAATGTAAGTGAATAGAAATATTAAAAAATGAAATAAGACGATGTAGAAATATGTTCAGAAGATAATATTTTCTTTCAAAAGCTTTAAGAAAGTTTCGTAGATGCAAATTGTAGATTTACACTTTTATAGATATTCTGCATGGTTAATAAAACTTGTTCCACAAAAAAAAATACTTTTAAGAAGTTCTATTAGAAGCAACTTATAGCTTGGCTCTGAAGAATCCACACATACACACACATACAGTCGCTGAGAGAGCTAAAACAGCGTGGAAATGCAGAATTTGTGACGAGGAAATGGATCCGGATGGGCATGTGCGCTCTGGAAACGAGTGACGCCAGCGAATGGTGAGCTTCAGTGGTGGATCGGACCACCATTACATGACCCCACCTGGAGTTACTTGCAATGTAAGTGGTAGAGTCCATAACTGAAGAGAATTTGACGTATTCGGAGAGAGTCACAGTGGTTTCGTGTCGACTTCGTTCAAATTGGTAGGGATCACCTCGTAAGGAACGAGGACGCGAATTATGGTGGCTGCCGTTGGGAAATCGGATTCTGATGTGAAGATGGTCTGTATCTCAGGCTGTGCAGCATTATGCTATCAGTTTCGATATCTTTCGTTTCAGTTTTCGAAAACAATTCCGATGGGTACAATCGATTTTGCTGCATTAAGGCTTCACTGTCGCGATCTTTATTAGCAACTTGAATCCGGTAAGAGGACCTGTAGGAGGTTCGTTTCAACGAGAGGAAATTGACCCGGTGCTGGGGTGAATCCATTGTACACCGACTCCTTAAAAACCGAAGGCAACACACCACCTCTGTATTCTCTTTTGCATTTAGTCTATGGATGAGCGGGGTCCATCGTGACCAGGTGGGACTTTAAACATCTCAACCCTCTCGTTTTAAGACGTGGTGATTTTCCTTATGGTTAGGGACCATGGAGCAGTCAGGGGAAGGAGTCATTATTGATTTGGACACATTTACTACAAACCGGGATTATTAACAACTGTATTAACGAAAACACTGTGATGACGCACCAAGATTGGGGCTGAGCAATCAACGACCGTCAGATAGATCGAGCCTGCTTTAAGTGCAGCGATTTCACAATGGCTCACCTAGGCCTGCGTTGTAGTAAAGTTATTCACGTCATGGATACAGAGTACAAATTGCGCATCCGAACAAATTGCAGACGTTAAGTTACGAGCCCTTTAATGGGACTCATGTGAAAGGCTACACTCTACCTCTAAAGCGGGCAACCAGGTGAGTCAGAATACGAAATTGTCTGTAATCCAGTTGATGACAAAAAGGGAAAAAGAAATATATAAAAAAATATACGAGAATCCTGTCGAGACACGGCCTATCTCTCTGCTCAAATCTCCAAGATCAGGTCCACAAGACGTGAATTTTTTTCTCCACACGGCTCCTATACAATGTAGAATCAGATTCTACACGCGAGACTCTTACCACCTATCAATCAGGCGTTGCACTTAACATCCAAGTCATTCGCTGAAAAGGCTCTGTACTTCCAGGTTGTCATTCCACTGTTTCGAGTTTCTTCGCTCTCGCACTTCCTTCCGTACCCCATATCAGTGAGCGCTTTAAACTCTGGGTGGAGAGATAGACTACTCTCCCTTTAATTTTGAATAAAAATCACGAAATCGAAATTAACACAGACATCATCAAATCCACTTGCAGAAAAAGTTATCACCACAAACAGATAGAGCTTCACTTCAGTGTTTCATGACATGCCACTAAACAACTTGTGCCTTGAAATCAAACTTCTTTTTTTATTAAATTTAATTTTTTTTTCCTATACCTCTATCACACAGTCATTATCTTGAGTTTAAAATCAGCTACAGGCTAAAGCTCACTTGATGTGGAGAAGCCCTCGTGTTATTATTGGCAAACGGGGCCAGAATAGCCCAACAAAAAGTCCAAAATATTTGATTGCACTGAACAGATAATGTTGTGCCAAACCGTAGTAAGGTGACTGGAATTGCATTATACATAGAATTGTTGTGGTGGAATTCTGCTTCAGAAAGAGAAAATTCCGGCTTTAGAAGCTCGCGTCCCAGAACGTGAAATCGGGGGAGCAGTTGAGCCCACCGTCAGGAGTGATATGCTTGCCGCTAAGGAAATCCGTCGCCACGGCCTTGTTCAATGCGTTAGAAGTATGGATTCCGTCCCAGCTCAAGTATCCCGCTGGATTTGCGCAGTAAGTTTCAGTCAGATTCACAAATTCGTTGCCAATTACTCCCGTGTTCCCGCAGGTGACTTTCTTGTCGAAGTTGTAGTACCCGCCGACTCCGCAGCACGCCTTCAAGGGCTGCGTAATATCTGTGTGGAGTAGAGTGTTCAGGCCACTTAATTAGTCCCCTCGAAGCTGCCAATTCACTGCCTTTATCGATGTTTGAGGGATGATGATTCATGCACACATGCGAAGATTATAATTAGGTCTCGTTTCCATGGGTCTGTCTGTGCTTACTGTAACTCTTGGGGCTAGAGAGGATGTCGGTGTAGACGCCGTGGAGGTCGCCGTAGTAGAGGTTGGCGGTGGGGTACTTGGCTCGCAAGGTAATCATCGCGTCTCCCAGCTGTGCATTGTGAGCTGTTGTGATTTTGTTGAGTTCTTTTAAACATCCGCGAGAGTCGTAGCTGTCGGGTGTGGATTCAAGGAACAAGGTGAGCATGGCCGGGATGCATCCCAGAGGAGGCAAATTGATCACCAGAAGGTCAATCCCGCCGAATTCTATGACATTCTGCGAGACGATTGAACAGGGAAGTTTCTCACATTGAGGACACAGTCATCAGCATGAACTTGACATGATCAATTTCGTGGATCTAACTCTGAAGCAACAAACTGAACATTGTCGGTGTGCTGAAAATGAAGATAGCGGCGTGGAGATCGAGTATGTGGCGCTCACCTCAACAAGCTCAACCACGGCGTCTACAACGGATCCCACGATCGACAGCGTCTCCCGGGGACTGAGCACCGAGTCGTAGAGGCTGAAGAAGTAGTCTTGATAGCCAGCATAAACCACGTATAAGGACGAATTCAGTGTGGCCAGTGTGGGTAAGCTCTGCACTACAACTGCGCCGCGATCATAACAAAAAAATAGGTCAGTTGGATTCATAAGTCGTGCGATGAATTTAGAGGGAAGATTAAGTAAAATAATGCGATTGATTTTGTAAAAAGATCAAAATATATAAATTGATCGACGATACTTACTGACAGGATCTTGTCTTTCGTAGTATGAGTATCGAACTTTGGTGCGCTCCAGCCACTCGAACTGCACGTCCAGAGAGAAAGGCGAATTGAAACCAGCATATCTCTTCCAGGTGGAGCTCGCCCTGGCCGTCCCTCCAGAAGCCGCAAAGCTCACTCCATACGTGAAGTCTGGGCTGATTCCTCGCAGAACAGGGTAGATCGGCCTCCTCCTCACACCAAATGCCAGGAAGTCGATGAGCAATTTGCCGTCGCAGAAACGATCTGCAGCGTGAGTAGGAAACAGGATACCATTCGGAGGGAGCTCAGCGTTCGCAAATTGGACCGGAAATGCAGCAATGCTGTTTCCCACGTCAGACAGAGAGTCGCCGAAGGAGTAGACTGCAGGATAGCTGCAATTTTTCACCGTCACAGCCATCGAACCTTGGATCACAGGGAATAAGACAATCCAAAAAACCATCGACATAGCGGCTCGAAACCTCATCAAGTTTTGTTCCATGTCTCCAGAATCTCTCCTCATAAGCTCAGACACCATAGACAAATGCCCTTGATTGCTGCAGGCTTTCTGAATGTCAGGAAGCTGCTGCAAAATGGATGGGTCAATGTGTAGGATAAGCGCTTAGGTTTCATGCACATTGTTGAGTTGAGTTGAGTAGCTGCACATGGTGCATCCCTAGTTATATTGTGGACTAGGTTGCTACGTCAACTTCATTGAGACACAAGTCTTGCTTCGAAGGTGATGTCTCACCAGAACTTCTTTAGAGTTCTTAAAAGCGGCTGTTAAACAAAAACTTCCAGCCTATCGTGTTGTTGACTTGCTGCATACCTTCACCATGTCAACTGGTCCCATGTCGGAGCCTTGTCTGCAATCTACGTCTGAGTTTCTTCCTCAAGCTCAGAGCCATGGTGATCTGCTCATCAGCCATCTCCATCGCATCCTTTAGTTAGTCTAGCTTTAAGGCTAACTTTGACTTCGCTTAGTTGACATTTCGCGTCGCATTATTATCGTTTCGCAGGTGCTGGACCCGCATAAGAATGTTGGCAGCATATGATTTTACGAATTTTGGTCGAAATCTCATGTCTTCCTTTGGAACATATATCGAGCAAAGGCACGGCGGCCCCTCGCCCTTCAGCTCAAGTGATAACTTCTTTTCCAAAGAAAGCTTTGAATCTAAGTTTGGTCTTCCTTAGAAGTGATCGAAAAGCAGCTCTTAATTTGCCATCGAACCCAGAAACCATCGAAATTACTTGCACTTCAGGTCGTCACCTTTCCCCCCCCCCCCCCCCCCTTTTAGAAAATTAAGCCAGTTGAGAGAATTACGAGTGGGGTTCATATACACGACTAGTACCCGATCGATTTGCGCATACCCAACAAAGACTGAAACTGCAATTGAAAGTTGCGAAAGGTGACTGCCCACTTGTGAGTCGTGTGAACGAGAATTCTACTATGCTTTGTGTTAATCGAGGATTCGCGGTGATGCAATGAAAAGTCTTGACAAGTGACTCAATGTCCCTCGTTGTCAAGAACTGTTTTTAGGTGAGCAACTTTGCAATCATTGTCTCTCGACCGTGAAATAAACCTTATTTAAAATAAAGAAACATTGTTTAGACCCATTGAAACGCAACCATGTAGAATTGGTGAAGTGTGCAGGAAATGTTGTGCTTTTTTCTTCAATCCCTCTGCCAATGCTGTACATTTCAATTCTCTCATGTAACTTTCGGCATGAAAGAATTGTTCTCTGGAAAGGGGAGTTGATGGATCACGGAGACCTACTGTAAGTTGTATGACTTTCTATGTGCATGGTCAGCAGTCACGAAAGTCAGATTTGGTAAAAGAAAAGAGACCGACCAGGTTGTGAAGTGTTTCCCAGCTCACTCCCTTACAATCTCTCGATTCTAAGTATGTGTTTTAGATCATCAAGGCGAACAACCCATCTCGACTGCAGAGATGATCTCACAGCCCATTTCCTTGCATACCCATCAACACAAACAACTGGCTCCTTTGTTCCCGTAACTCAACTCAACAGCTAAAACCCCCAAAGTCGATCTCCTTTGCAATCCGGACGTGGAGATCAACTAACATCTATTTTACAAATACGATGTGTAATCTGTCGAGTAAGACTGCGATCGACCACACACAAAACGAGTGCACGGAATGTCTGGAGGATGAACCAAAGCATGCATCCTGTGTTGGGTTAAGTTAAAGATTCATCACCAGAATATCCAACAAACTTGATGAGGCGGACCCTTGGACTCATGATCTTAGATTCGCCACAAAAAGGCCATAAATGTGCAAAATTTAGCGCCATCGTCTTTGACCCTCATTAGATACGCATAACCGTGGGTCTTGAGCCTTTCAAGTCGACCTTCATCATCTCCAGCCGATTTAACGCAATCCCTCCCAAGATAGACTTTTAGGCAATTCACAGGTATTTTACTTACTTCGAGTCGCAGTGGGAATAGTAGTACACTTTGGCCAGGTAAAGTAAGTTCATTCAATCCAACATGTAACCACTGTCATGGCCTATCTCTCTCTCTCTCTCTCTCTCTCTCTTTCCACTCGAAATTACTCACAATCACGCACCACAGGATTGAAACGCATTGCAGCGAGGTCTGGAGGAATGAGTTTCTGGTCCAGCAACGCTACCACGAAGGCGTAATATTCATCTGAAACTCAGTATACTACAGTGCACCTCGTAAATTGTCGACTGCAACAGTAAATCTGAGATACTTGGATACATCAACGCATGGCAACAGTCGGCTACATCAGCAACACGATCACTGCTGGGGATGGAAGGAGTAATTGTCTAAATCCTCCTCTTGTAGAAACTGGAGAAGGAAGATACCACTCCCAAGGGGTAAATGTGCTAGCCCAGCAGGAAGGCGGTCACGGCGATTGTGTTGAATTGGTTGGGAGTGGATGCTGTCCCATCCGAGGTGACCCTTGTCGTTGAGGCATGGCTTCGTTCCCCTCGTAGTTACGCTTTTCGTTGCCGACCATCCGGGCGAAACCTCTTGTGACGTCCTTGTTGAAGCTACAGGACCCTCCCGCAGCAAGTCTTGAACGGAGCTGCAATATATGCACAGTAAAATTAACCGTCTATCAAGTGGGAGTTCCACAGAATTCGACTGCAAATATTGGAAAGCGACCTCAACGAAGTAGGGCAACATTCAAGGATCTGGCAACGAGAAGGTCTGAAGAAAAAAGATGAATTCAACACTTACTTCTGGGGTTCATATTTTCGTATAGCTTCGCAGCTCTCAAACCACCGCAGCTGTATATCCTGGGAGAAGGGAGCATGGTAATGCTCAAGATCCTTCCTCCAGGCTGTCACATATCTTGCCGAACTGCTAACAGACGCAAAGTTGGTGCCATCTGCGGATGCTTCTCTCAGCACTGGATTGATTGCACCGCATAGAACCTCAAGTGCTTCCACAGCTCACATCAAATTCAGATATCCTGGGTTACAACACATCGACAACTCTTTGTGGAGAACGTAATCAATCGGCATAAATACGAGTGGTTCATATTTGGGTGGGATTCAACTCGGTGGGCTCCAATTTGAAGCATGCATAGTGATCAAGATGAGCAGGATTTACAATTGGACGGCTTAGTAATCACATACCAAGAAAGACGATGAGAATTAATGTGTCGTCGCAGAAGGTTCATCGGCTGGATGTGTGGGGAATTCGATGTCGTTGAGATATATCACCGCATGGGCAATCCTTTCTGGAAATACGACGAAGGCGTTCTCGACATCTGTGAGCTTACCTCAGAAAGCGTAGGTTGTAGAAGTGGAGCAGTTTAGCAAAAGCTGTGAAGCGAAATTGAACCGCACGGAATGAACGATGCCGGTGAGGAGGAATATGTCCAAGATTACTGGTCTAGATGTTTTCCAGTTGGAGGAGCCAAATTTTCTGTTCAGAAACCACGAAGCAAACATTATTCAAGATCGGATTGTTCGTGCAGTTGAAAATAGACTCCCGAGATGGTCCACCACGTCATCGCTCTGGTTGGATCGCTTATATTCAATTTAGTCGGAAATTTTCACACCCAATGTCTGCGACATCGCTTTCAGTCAAATTTTGACCGAACAAAGCTAACTTTTACTCCGATTGTAAGTACACATTGACTTCGGATTCTACCTAGCTGCACTAAATTTCTGCGTTGACACTGCGTCAACTGTGTCATCAAAGTAAATGCGTTCACTGGGAGCAGCATTCTTTCGCAAATTTGAACGTTCGGCCGTATTCACAGGGAAACCCATCCACACAAACCCGTTCAGAGGTTGCTTGCGAATGCACGCTCACTACGCATCGAAAATAGCTCATCTTCAAGTCACTCACCAGAGTACCATTCATTTTCTTGTCAATAGGCCAGGGTTTAATGACGGAGCGAGGCTGTTTGGTTCGAATCATGAACACCGACAGAGCTGAGTCGGCTCCACCAAAAATACTGGCACCCACACCACGAGTTAGGAAGCGACTTCGTGACTCTTGTACGATTCACAACATAACTATCGCGAATATGAACATATCCCCTTCAGCTTATTGATATTCTGGATGAGCTATCTCTAATATTTGACGCATAGGCATGTGGATTATATTTCCTTGGACACTTGTAAGACTCAACACTGAAACTTGTAGTTGGAAAAGGTCTTCGCTAGCATTGCCGTGCGATTCCGGGTCATAGATAGATGTCGATGCAGAGCCAACTTGCGATTGGGGGGACGGATTGCATGTCCTTGCAGGTGTGACAAATGCTCGAAACTCCAAAGCGAAGTGGAGGAGCAGCGGATGGGACCCTCCCGACGACTCTGGTGTCAAAAGCTACGTAATAATATGCAAATAAATTGGTATGATGATGATCACGACTGCTTTCGCCTGCGCTGTAGGTGACAAAGTTGCCGCAGATTCTCTACGGGAGATGGAATATCTCGTATGCCTTGGGCCGCTCGCTCCCTGTGAGATGTGTGGGTTTCATTAAGACAATTCCATCGTTCCTAATCTAATTTCGATGCTATTGGTTGATGGCTCCCGGATCGTGTCCTTTCACAGCCTAAACTGCAACAACGATGATAACGAAAGGCAAGGTGTGGTGAGAGAGTGAGAGAGAGAGAAGCGAATCAGTATTCAAGTTGGCCAAAAATCGGCTGTGCAATTACACAGAGAACAATTACACAGCCAATTCCAGAGAAAGAAGTTCTATGTTTCAAAAATTGAATGGTCACAAGATCCACACAATGATCACAAAACAGATTGAAGAGCTTGTAATTATCTTTTGAGCGCAAAGCAAGCCATGCACATGGTTCAGCTTACGAGTTCCAACCTGGCAGCAAATCGGAGTTCTGCCTTTCAGGAAGCTGGTGTCGTGTCGGAGTATCGCAAACATAACAAGAACCAAAATTGCCCTGGATCATAACCAGAATTTCTGTTGCTTTTATCAGTCAGAACACGCTACCCTAATAAGTAGATTACTGTATCGTTGCTCAAACAATAATGAAGTCTGAGCTGAGGTATCCAAAACTGTCTTCACAACGGTGGTGGAAGGAGGAGGTGACAAGTAGAGCGATCGCATTGGTTTCCTTAGATTTGGTGGCCAACTATGGTAAAAGTTAGCCTTCAAAGGAAGACCAACTCTTGTGAGCCTGGACCCAACTGCATTTGAAGTTGAGTTCATTATGGCTTACTCGAGAAAGAGTTGGTACTACTCGCCACACCAAAGTGCAAATCATGCAGCCGATCAACACATATTGTCAACGTTGACAACAAAAATGGCAAAGTCGATGCATTTCTTTTCAAAATTAGCAAAAAGGGACTAAAGTAATGATATCCAGTTCATACACTCCCTCGCCTCATGTCCTGCACTCGCCCCACACTACCATTTACTCTTCAGTGTGATTTAAATTATAACAAGCTCTAGATCAAAGAAAACCTTTGACTTGTGGTATTCTTTGAAGTTCGCTTTGGACGTGCATGTCTAAAGATAAAGGCAAAAGACCCCCACTTTGTTCACACTCTCCTGTGAAGTCTCCGCTCAGTAAAGAAGTGCCGAAACCTGCGCCACTTCAAACATATCGGTTTAAATGGCACCCAAATCGACTGTCACATCACACTCACTCACTGCACTTTCATCTCTCACTGTCCCATCACATGTTTACTTGATTCGCAGTTGAGGCGATTCAGCTTCTCAATATCCAATCCTTACACTTGTCTGCAGTTGGCTACTGAATTGGATCGAAGCCATGGCGACGAAGTTAAGGAACTCGATTCTGTACTGGGGAGCTCTCTTCTGCATCTTGCATTGCGTCCATTTGAGTTCAGCTCAGGACACTCTGCCAAACTGCACGTTTCCTGCAGTCTATGCCTTCGGAGATGGGCTCACTGATGTAGGAAATGCGATCGCTGCATTTCCGGAAATATTCGCAAACGCGGAGTTGGATCCCAACGGCGTTGAGTTCCCTACGCATCCAGCTGATCGATTCTGCGATGGAAAATTGCTCGTCGACTTCCTTGGTACGTCATTCACAAAGACTCGAGATTATGTCTGTTGTGCCTTGTCCTCCTTCGACACATGAATTGAATGCCAATCAGTGTTCTTTCATCGGAATCGAATCATGCACAATGCTTGTGATAAACCATCTCCACTTCGTCTGTTTCCTGAACTTCTGATTGTCGAAGACTTATAAGTTTTGGTTGAGTGTCGCAGCATTTGGAGTTAGGAGGCGGCCCATATACCCAGTACTGAGAGGAACATCTCCAGACTTCAGATACGGTACCAACTTTGCAGCTGTTGGCGGTTCGGCAAGAAATGTTACTTTCTGGAGCAAGGCCACCGGACTCCACTTTACGCCCTTCAGCTTGGATGTGCAGTTGCAGTGGTTTGATCGCTACAAAGTTCGACTCTGGTTTTACGAATTCATGAACCCCGGGAGTGAGTGCCCAATTCCATGACATGTCGTGACATGAGAGCGATTTGCATAAATGATCACTATCACGATGCTTTCAGAAAGCTGGAAGTTCGATTGTGCAGATCCAATGAGCTGCAGTCAATAAGTGTAGGTGTGAAAATTTTAAGATTGTGCGTTGCTTCTGCAGTCGTCGTGCAGCCCCTGCCCACGTTGAACTCCGTCAACCAGTCGTTGTTCTTGGTGTACGCCGGCTACCAGGACTATTTCTACAGCCTCTATGACGAGACTCTCACTCCTCGCCAGACCTTAAACATTGTGGAGGAAGTAGTGGAGTCCATCGGTACTCACATTGAGGTAATTTATATATCCTCTTGAAAGAATTCATCTGGATTCGACAGGCTTTAATGTTGGAAGAAACTTAACACAAACACGCACACCAGTTCCATTGAATTTCTTCAAATCTTCTGAAAATGTAATAGGAAATTGCTTTGAATGTAGACTTGATGGCATTTTGGATATGGTCGCAGGGCATGCTGAAGGTTACAATCTACCAGCCTCCTGCTTCACCGAGTTATGTCATGCCCGCAGCTAAACACATTCTCGTGCTGGGACTGCCTCCTCTGGGCTGTATTCCTGCCATGCTCACCTTGTACCAATCCTCGAAAGCCAAATACGACCGTTACGGCTGTTTGAGTGACCTCAACAAGATTACCGCCAAGCACAACAAGTTGCTAGGAGAGAAGGTGGATGCCCTGCGTGAGAAGTACCCTGATACATTGAATGTGTTTTACGGTGACATTCACGGTGTCTACACCGACATCCTGAAGAACCCCGAGGCTTACAGTAAGTCAACATGAGAATTATTCTGCAGTCTCTGATACTTCGCAGCGATATTCGCAAGGAAAGGTACTGACAGGGTGGTTTGTGTGACTCCACAGATGTAACAGAGCCTTTAAAGGCTTGCTGCGGAGTGGGAGGATCCTACAGCTTCAACAAGGACGTGACATGTGGCCATATCGGCATGGTTGGAAAGGAAATGGTGAACTTGACGGGCACCCCGCCATGCGAGGATCACAAATCTCACCTCAGCTGGGACGGCATCCACACGTCCAACACCTTTAACAAGGCTGCTGTGACTGCCTTCCTGACGGGGAAGCACATTTACCCCGAGGGCGGGCTCAAGTGCTCCCCTGACTTCACTAACTGGGATGCCAGGATGTAGACATCCATGCCAAAGATCAAAACAGTTTGACAACGACAACCACGGGCACACATCGACCGTCACCTCAACAAACTTTTGGATACAGTGTTTGCTCTTCTTGCAATTTGACTACAATTCGCGGAGTAGCTTCTCTTTCGTGTTTTGATGGGCGACGTAGAAATCGGCCTGTGTTGGCGTGATCCCTTAAAATAACCGAGTTCGAAGAGCTCCATTGATGCGGATCCACAAAATAGTAAAATAAACATTAGTATTGTCTGGAGATTTTGATGCAAGTTACAAGAGATCCCTGTGTGTGGATTGGGATATCAGCTCCAAACGTACCGCTAAGCGTTTTGTGAAGAGACTCATAATGCAATTGCATTAATCAATAAAGATTTTGTAGTGTTTGTAAATGGTGGTTTTACTCTGTGATGGTGTTGAAATGCTCAGATCAATAGATTCATCTCAGATTTCGGGGATAAGATGTCGTTAAGGCATCGTTAGAAAGATATATCTATTTCAGAAATATTAGCATCCAGTTCAATACAGCCTGCATTTTGAATAGTTTTCCATCACAAGAAAAGATTAGTGCAGTAAAACAACTACTTCGACGTGCTTTACTCGACAAGACTATTGTTGTAGCACAATCCAGCCCATGAAAGTTACTGCTGTTTCGAAGCTCTTAGATTAGAACACTATGAGATCCAGGAGACGTTCACTTCTCTCCAGCCTGCACCTCAAATAATGAAAAAGATTTCGCCGTGGTGTTTCAAAACCCAGCCCTCCGGATACTCTACCGAGTGGAATGTAGCATACGGGATCTCGACTTCGGTAGCACTAGAGCAAATTTACATCAGCAGATAAGCACAGTTCACAGGAATCTTGGGCTCCAGCTTGAATCTCCGTGGCGACCCTGCAAATTATGGGTTTGCGTGAATCTGTTCGCAATGGCAGTGCCATTCTTGCTCTGCTTCCGTTTCAGGACAGGCTCTGATGTAGATGTCGTCAAATGTATTATTGCAATTCGCTTTCTCGTCACGAAATCGGATGGTCGCGTTGGAAGTCGATCGACTTGATCACTTTGTCTAGTAGGAATTGTAGAGTTTAAGAGCAGTTGATGGGTTGGAAAGATTTTGCTAGTGTGCGGGGGTACTGAGGCGGCATTAATGCCGAGGAGGCTCTAGTTTTTGGTATTCACCAAAGGATTTGTCTGGCGCATTAGGATGATATTGTCACCGAATTTTTATTCAGGCAAGTAATTTGGTTTCCATATGGTTCATGATGTTAAGTGCTGCAACGAGATTTTCCTACGAAGATATGACGGTCAGGAAGGTATAGACAACATCGTCTTTTCTTTGTGATCGGGCGAAATCTTTTTTTCTCTCATAAATGTTCAGGATTTTACAAGATTACAGATCAGATTGCTCATGAACTTCACAATGTTACTTTAAATCACCGCTAGAAATCTAAGTCAATGTAAAGACTGCCAGAGCCCATTCGAATTTCAGCAAAAACACTGATCACCTGTACCTCCCATCTCATTTTACTCAGTGTGTAAGATGGAGTTTGATCCTTCTGCACCGGACCCTTCCAAACAACTTGCACGTGCTGGCTTAGCTCCCAAGCATGACACCCATGAAGCGCAACGGTAGTGCATGCAGATTACCATCCACAGTTGCATAATTTGCATATAAATACTATTGGGAGAATTATTCCTTATAGTACACTAGTTTCCTATACAAAATACTATCTATTAAATATTGACCTTACACCAAGAGTGACAATATATACACAATATATAAACACAATATATTGTGTAACATTGATCATATTAATAGATAATAATATTTCCAACATGGTATCAAAGCTATAGAAATATTTGATTCCTATAAAACTATAAGAGTAGATGAATGTTTCAAGTAAGTAAAGAATTTTTGAGATTACAAATAAGATTGTAATAATAACAATAAAACAATCTATTATAATAGAAAAGATTAATGAAGAGCTTAAAGAGCTTTAAACCATGAGAAGCAATTCTAAACTTGAAAATGGCGACAAACAAACAATAATTAAAGATAAAATTGAATTAATTAAGAATAAATTTATAAATAATTTTAATTCAACTTCAAATTAAGAACATTGAAGATGACACAAAAAGTGAACATCAATCATGTTCTCAAATTCAATGATTCATATTTTAATATATAGAAACATAGATTAATACTAGTTTTCAAGGCTGAAAAGTTTTAGTCTATAGTAAGTGGTGAAGAATCCTTACTAGTGGAACCAACGATAGTTAAAATTACTATTAGAATCCCAGCTTTACCTGCTATAGGAATAGGAAGTATAAGCACATGGATAGACAAGGATATCTTGACTTTAATCATAATCAACAATTACCTAGAAAACAACATTATTTTACATATACAATCTTACACATCAACAAATTTAGTATGGCAAGAACTAATAAAAATATTTGAATCACATGATGTAGTAACTATGATGTATTTAAAAGACAAATTATACACCTTAAAAATGAGGAAGGTAATAGAGTTATTAAATACATACATACTTTTAGAATATATATAAAACAATTGTTGGTAGTAGGATCAACTGTTCTAAATAATGAAGTAATTTTTACGTTAATGAGAAGTTTGCCTCCAAGTTATAGATCCTTCATTACCTCCGTAAGAATGCAGCCTAAGATCACATTAACATCCTTAATAACAAATTTGATCTAAGAAAAAATATTCATGAAAAATATGACTTTAACACTTGATAATAATTCACTCCTATATATGGCAAGAAATTTCAAAATAACAACAAGAAATCTTATTTTAATAAAAAATTCAGAAAGAGTTTACAAAAAGAAAGTAGTACCTTTAAGCCAAATAAAAAGAATAATTTTACTATTGATAAGAAGTATTTTTTTGTAAGAAACCTAATCACTTAATCAAAGATTACAAAACAAGAATAGCAACTAAAAATTGTAATAACAAAAAAGAAACAAATGTTGTTACAAAATCAAATAAATTATATGTGGACTCAAAAGCAATTCAACATATGTATGATGAGTTAGTAGGATTTGTCAAATACATCAAAAGTGAAGACAAACAAGTTGACTACTTAGGAGACGATACTACATCATACATAATAGAAGGATATGGTGATGTAAATATCAAACTTATAAATGGCAATGAAAAGATCATACTTGATGTATTACACATACAAAGACTTGCAAAGAATTTATTTTCTACCAAATTATTGAATAAAACAAGAAGAAAAATTCTCATAAGAGCTAAAGCAACTACATTTATAAATAAATTTGGTCAAACTATTGCAATATGCAAATTAAATCCTAATTTATATGAATTAGGTACAACAATCTTTTAAAAAAAGCCTCAAATTGCTATTCCAAAAACAATACAATTAAACAAAGCTGATTTGTGGCATCTAAGACTATCGCACATAACTTTGCAAAGATTCAAACAAATACAAACAATGGCAAAGGAGATTGATTTCTTTAATGAAAAGGAAATTACCTTACGTCAACCTTGCATAGAAGATAAACAACATAAAGAGAGGTTTCTTATATAAGGTGTACAAAGAATTGTCTAATTGTTAGAACTTATACATTCTAACATTTGTAGTCTTATGTAAGTAGGCACATATTGTCAAGGATAAGAACTCGATGAAAGCTAAAGAGTAAGTGAGGCTTTTCTCAAAAAGAAATAGGACAAAATAGAAATATGTATATTAAGAAAGAAACTGGAATGGCTATTGCCAAAATACAAGAAAACTAGAGACCCTTGAAACTAGACTAGAAGCAAGAAAGGAGTTGACAAGAGTGAAGAAGCCTTCACTCTTGTCTCTATATATACTATCTAATTAGGGGCTACGTGGCGACGTTCTATAGGACCTCCAATATGTGTTGACTTTGTAGGACACATGCCTTGACATACAAGGCAAGTTTTTCTACGTGTGGGCCACATAATTAGCTTGATCTTCAAGCTAACAACATGTGTGGCACATGGCCAACTTGTTGACCACGTTTCTAATCCAAAAAGTCAATTAAAGACACCTATGAAGTCAAAGCAGCGTCTAGGAAGTTTCTAGGAAGCTTCTATATTAAATATTATACAATTAACTTACTTTTATCTACTTTTACTTACTTCTACCTATTTCTATATGTAATTATTAGCTTACATGATTATGGCCGTGACATTACCCCCCCTTCTAGAGACGAGTTCCACGAGGAGCGGTCATCATATGTTGAGGAAATCTATGATGCGACGAATTATATTCGCCACATACTCTGATCTCTGTTCTCTTCGAAGATGATTGATAGGGCCTCTCAACCATCGGTAGTGTCCCATACCAGGGCGGGAAGACCACCCAGTTATTTGATCATTATTGAGGCCTTCATAACTTCTTTCGAATAGAATATTTGGAACACCATCAGGAGTTGTTCCTACCTCTAGCAAAATCACCAAACATCGGGAGTCCCTTCCCAAATCGTGATACCAAACGCGTTGTATCTCACCATCTGTTCGAGGAAGAACATGTCGTTCTTGAAGATCTTCATCTCGATTGCGTCGTCTTGAAGGTTGTGACAATCGTAATGTCTCGTCCGACAGGTCAGCAAACGAAGGTTCTTGAGTTGAATCCGCTGGTTGTTGGCTCTCCATCTAATTAGCGTCACAAATGTAAAGAAGTTACAAACAAGGATAGGAAATTGAATGTTATCTTGCCTCAATCTTGTCTCTTTTATAAGAGAGATTTTCATCTTGGTTTTGATGGATGTCGTTGATGAAAAACTTTGACTTTAGCTGATGCATATGCTAGATTCCTGGATGGCTCCCATGTGCATTCACTAATATCATATCCGCGCCAATGAACAAGATATTCCAGCTTATTTCGGCGCCGCCTTGAGTCTAATATCTCTTCCACCTCAAATTCTTCATTATTATCTACTTCTATAGGAGGCGGTGGCATTTGTCTTCTTCCTTGTATATCCACTGTCTTATATGGTTCAAGAAGAGACACGTGGAATACAGGATGGATCTTCATTGACTCCGGTAGATGTAACCGATATGCAACTAGGTTGATCTGTTCAGAAACAGAAAAGGGGCCAAGCCTACGATAGTCCAACTTGTCACAAGGTCGAGTAGTCTTGATATTGCGACGAAGTAGCCATACCTTATCACCCACGTTGATTTGTGGTTGCTCCTTACGATATAGATCTGCGTTTATCTTTTGTCGTTCTTGAGCTTCCTTCAATTGTGTCTTCATTATTGCATGTAACTCTGACAACCGATTTGCCATATCTTCTGCTGCAGGATTATCAACTTTTGAAAAATCAAAAGTATCAAGTCGTGGATGATAGCCATAATTGGCAAAGAAAGGTGTTTGT